AAGCGTGTACAGTATGAACCAATCAGTGGCAGTAATGACAGAGCATGCGCTGCTACGTAAAAACCGCAATAGAGTGAAGCTGCGGAAGTCAAAGCGCGAAGTGGCGAGGGTTCACTGTATAGGATTTTCTTTTATTTAAACATAAAAATTTTACCAACCTAGGTCAACATGTGTCTCCTATTGTAAAGTCCCTTCAAACAATGCTTGGTAAGCATTATCTATCTAGACTCAAGTATGTCTTCAGCTCAAGAAAGTATTCTTTGCTATTTTGTTTGGCTATTATTTAAAATGTCATTCTATCCTATTAGAATGTCAATTATAATTCTATCATGCCTCTAACCACTGTAATCTTGTCTATCATAATTTCTACTTCCATCGATCTTTTTCTTAGGAGTCTTGGAGATTTATTTTATTTGCTCTCTTTTTTATCAATTTCCATTTTGTCAATCACATTCTACCTAACTGCATATGCTCTATCCTTTTCTCTTCTTGTTCTGATTGAGGGCTGCATTTCTTTAATTGTCATAATCCTCTCTCATATCTCACTAGGAACACGTATTGTTTTAAAAGTTCTATCAAACATTTTGCATTAACTCTTCCATTAGATCATTGTGTCTGTTTTCTCTACCTGATTCTGTGATTTTCTAAAATTTTTCGTATAGTTGAACATTTTTTATTGTCTAAAAATAAACATAAATTAAATTTCAAATATTCACAGTGTCCCTTCTTAACTTTTGTAGTGGCTGTATGGCTTTTCACAACACCAAGGATTTTCCACATTATTTAGTCCCAATAAGGACATATAAATACCAATTTAATGTGTGCTGAGTTTTCTAGAGAAACAATACCATATATGCATGAGAAAGAACTTGATTTTCAGAAAGAGTTGTATAACAAGGAAGTGACTCAGCCCAGTCCACCTCAACTCCATGGGCCCAATTTTAATGGGAGCCCCCTTCAGAGTCATGCAGCTGCCAATGGATAAAGTGGGAAGCTAGGAGGTCACCGGGTGGTAGATATAGAGTCGCATGGATGCCAGGTCTGCAGGAATATGGCAGGGTGCCACAGCACCCAGGTCAGCAAGCTGCATGGACTACCAACCCCAGGGCAAGATACACAGAACAGGAAACAGGAAGGCAACGAGCAAGAGAGTTCTCAGTCCTCCTCCAGATCTCACTTATAAAATGATGACACCATTAAAGAACATCACCAGGCAAAGACCTGAATGAGAGGTTGGACTTCATCCCTACTGCCACACAGGTACCATCAAGTTGACATACAATCTAACCATCACACGAATCAAGAGATTCCTTTTTAGTGACTACTTGGCCTTGGTTTCTCCTCTCGGTTCCTTTTGCCTATCCTCATAGAGCTCCACCTTGATTCCGCAGCCTCTAGGGATAAAGAGTAGGCTCACATAACCTTTATATTGCGCACTCTCAGAATTTTCTCCTCCATAACAATAAAAAGTTTCAGGAAAAAAATTTACAAAAAACTTTCCTGATTTAATGAAGAGTGTTAACAAGCTCTTGGCTACTGGTATCTTTATTTAGTTTGGTATAAATTTTGTTGTTTATTATATATATTTATCTGGATATTATCTGAGCCTGTGGTATTAAATTGGGATTGTACTGTGTTCCAATAAGGATAAAATGTTCTTCTCTTTTTTGTTTATCTCCATGTTTGGGGGATTGTAAACATAATATACCACCATGTTACCAAAAGTCTGTCGATATGTGATTCATAGTTAAAGGATCAGTTAGTGTTTTCCAGAGAAAAAATACAATCACACATAAAGAAATAAATATATCATGAAACCCATTTATAACTCTTGATATACTCATGTACCAACCCCAAATCTGACGCACTGTCAAGTAGTGGATGGCAACTCAGAATAAGCATGCATGGCAGGGTAATGCCACCTTCACAAATCTTTACAGAAATAAATAAGCCCATCTTGCTCCCAAAGAATGCTTTCAGGGTTTGAACTGTGGACTTCTCTGTTAGAGCCTAATATTTAACCTCAGGGCAATCAGGAATCCATACTAATATTAAAACAATGAGATAGATACTCACAAAATCTCTCCTGAGTTTCACAGTACATTTCTAGTTACAATATCATAAAACCTTCACATTTAGTTAAATTTCCAACCGCGCTTAATTTAGGTAGTAAAATGGAACTTGCAGTAAGAGCTGAAGCACTCCCTCTAAAAATGTCAGTACTAATGAAAATGCCAATATCTCCTAGTGAGATGCAAGACCACGATTAGAAAGCAAGCGGAAGAAACGGCGTTGAAGCGCTCAGCATCTTAGCCAATCACGTGTAAATGAAGGGAGAATTGGAAATAGAATACATCTTTAGGCAAGTGTTGCAATAGTTAGGCTGTGCTTTCATCTCAAGCCTGAGAAAAGAGATTTTGAAAAGGGCCACTTAATGAATTCCATTTGCATCTACTGGAAAGTTGGGGATGTGCAGGCTGGCTCTCTGGTTCATTTCTGATGAGACTATCTGATTAGCTCCTCTGGGCTAGAGAAGTTGCTGTACTGAGGACAGTCTATCTCCCCATATTGTTGAATTGCACCTGTCTGTCAGTTTGTCGCTGGTGGTGAGGTGCCTGCTATTGGATGATGGAAGCATTGCCACCAGTACTTCAAATCCCAGCAGGTCACTCAGATTTCAGCAACACTACCCAGCCCTGGATCATTCTCACAGTTAGGTTTGAGCCCATTGTTGCAGCCATCGTGTCCATCCAATTCTTGTGAGAATCATGCTCTTGTTCCCTGACCCCCTACTCTATCAAGCATGATGGCCTTTCCCAGGGACTCTTCTCTCCTTATAGAATGTCCAAAATGTGTGAGACCAAGGCTTGTCATCTCAGCTTACAAAGAACGCTCCGGCCGTGCTCCTGTGAGGGAGATTTGTTCTTTCGGCAGTTGACGGTCCTTTCAATATTCTTCACCAACACTAAAATGCAAATGCATTAGATTTTTTGTGGCCTTATTAATTGTGTATCTTGCCCATGCATATATATGAATTAATTGAAAATATCATGGCTTATGTTAGGGGAACCTTGGTCCTGAAAGTGACATTCTTGCTCATTATCAATTTAAATAGGTCGTATCAGATTTTCCCAATGCACTTAATATATGTTTTATCAGTGGAAGAATAAATAAAAGACAGAATTTCCTGAGATCAAAAAAGCTCTAGGAGAAGAAGGAGGGAAAAACTGTTTATTCTGAAATGCAAGGGAGATAGGAAACAAAATGGGTGTATGTTCATTTATTGGAGACCCAGGAAAGATCCAATATTTTTTTCTTAAATAAAAGAATTCATTTATGAATATGTCAAATGTCCTCATGTATCTTGCTTAAGTTAAAAAGAGAAAACCCATTTTCATATGTTTATTCATTCATAGTCCATGTCAATAAAAATGTACATTGAACGTTTGTTTCTTTTGTTTTCTATTTTAGGCTATACTTGTCTTTGTACTCAGCATTGGATCTCTTATCATCTACTTCATCAACTCTACTGAGTGAGTCCAATTTCCAGTTCCTCCATCTCTGCTCTCTCACTACGATGTCCAGCTACTTAGGAAGTCTCCTTTAAGAAATAATGTTTAAAACACACACACACACACAATCTCATGCAGAAAGGATACGTGCTCACTTCCCAGGATGTGCTAAGCCTAATCCTACAAGAAGTGCATGTTTTTACCCTGTATCCTGCTGTCATGCATTGCGAGAGGTGTTGTTTAGAGATTTACTTCAGATTCTCAGAGACTCGAAGCCTCAAGGTGCTGGCTCTTCATCTAGGCTACTCACTAATACTTTCTATGCCTTTGAATTCCTTCAGGGTTGAAACGGAAGTGCTGTAGTTTTAGGGTATCCAATAGGTTTTAAACAACATTGACTGGTCTTCAGAAAGAGAAAGTACCACTCAAAAGGCATTCCCCCATTTTTGTATCTAAAGTTTAAAATGGTTTCTTGGACTCAATCTAATCTAACATCTATGCAAGCCCTTGGGAAATTGTATTGGATTGCTAATTGATAGAAAATTGGGTTTACAAAACCACAAAACTCAGGCAGGCAATTCCTAACAGACATTTTAGGAAGTATTAAAAAATTTGGCTCAAAACTGTCCAGGTCACCTTAAAAAAAAAGTTGATCTAGAGTCACCTAGGTTTTTCACTTCCTGAAATCTCTTGGAAATAGATCAGCAGGTCTGTCTTCTAAGGAAACTCTGGATGTATTCAAGCCATTTACACCACCGAGGGCCATAGATGAGCTTCACAGCAGCAGAATGCAGAAGTCAAAATGTCCAGGCTGGATAGAGGGGCTTTTAAATGAAGAAGAGCCACATTGTCTCTTTGCTTAGAATTCAAAGTGATAACATAGAATAGAATTAATGAATTCTAGTAAAGGAAGAATGAGTAATTTTCCTGTTGTTTTCAGCTGCACAGAGAGTCCATTGACTTTATTCATGCATACGTCCACTCCTTTAAAAAAGCAATTTCCTTGACATCTGAAACTACATGTCTGGATTGATTATTTGTGGTGACTAAATAGCACATTACTTACCCTTTCCCTTTATTTGGTCCTATATATACACTGAATATAAAATATTCATCTTTAAAAATGGTTCTTGTTTCTTTCTCAGCCCTGTGGGAAGCTGTTCTTCATATGAAGATGTAACTATTCCTGTTGATTTGACTTTTAATGCTTTCTTTAGCTTCTATTTTGGCTTGAGAGTAAGTATTGAAAATGAAAGTGAGGATACAAAAAGAGATCTGTCAGTGCCTTTGTTATACAACCTGCCTGTTTTGGGGGCTCTAAAGATAAGAGATCTGTGCCCCAACTGATAAATATAGATAATAAGACATAGAAATCAAAACACTCTCCACATGAGAAAACATAATGTGTATGAATTGTTGAAAGGAAAACTGGTTTGGTCTGTAAACCTTCAACCAATTCGCAGTAAATGTATTTATTTTTAATGCAAAACCAAAACAAAAACTTCTCCTGAATACTTCAAACTGTAAACCAGACAACGAAACTTATTTGGCAAGATGGCCTCCTGAAAACAGGCACAATTACACTTTTCTACAACAGCCAGGGGAAAATCAGTAGGAAAGAAATCCAGAGAAACTTCAGATTTCCCAGGATGACTTTAAAGTTAAACAAATCAAAATCTCTTCTTTCCAAATGCCAAGACACCAAAAAGAGATAGGAGAGAAGGGAAATAATCCACATAGGTGGAGCTCAGCATTTTCTCCCCACTATCACGTTCCTGGAGATCCCCCATGACTCCCGAGACCAGTCACGAGTATAGACCTTCATGGGCCAACATTCAGGACTCCGCTTCTCCACACAGCACCAACAACCAGGCTGGGGTGTAAACTTCAGCAGCTCCAGTGTGCAGGTCTGCACCCCCCGTGGTGTCAGGAACCAGGCTAGGGAGTGAACTTCTGTGGCACAGCACCCAGGCCTCTGCTTGGCGTCCTCCCACACATGCAGAGAACAAGACCCTCTGTAGTCCACTGTGGTGCCAGCAGAGTGTCCCTGGACCACTCTGTGCTGCTGGGCGCATAGGGCTCACACTGCCCCACGTGCACCCCTGTCATGAACAATGTTTTACTGCGGCTCAACTAGCTATGGCCGACTACAACTACAAAGCTCCTGGACCAAGGAAAGAACACCCAAACACAGCCTTTTTCCCTCCTTTCTCTTTTTTCGTGTTCCTTTAATAGCCCCACTTTTTCCTCCCTCCTCTTCAAACTCCTATTTTTCTTTCTTTTAAACTACCTCTTCTTTCTTTATATCGCTCTCTCTCCCTTTATTCCTTTTCCCCCTTTCCTCTTCTTGCCTCCCTTCTCACTTCTTTCATTTTATGATTTCTATTATTCCTTTCCAGTACCTCCTGACAGAATCAACTTCTCCCACAAAACTCAGCCGGCCACCCAATATAGACGGTGGTACCGTGATGCCACAGCAGCCACAGACGATGCTAGTACTCACACCAAAAAACAAACCATCGAGATAAAGAGGCACACAGAAAACAGATCAAAGAAATATTCTGAAGGATAACATATTCTGCAACTAACAGAAACTAAGAAAATAAGCTTCAGAAGAATGATATTTGGATAATTTCAACAGATGGAGGAAATGTTTGAGAGAATAATGGACGAGCAAAACCAGAAGCCTTACACCAATTAGAAGTTCAGAAGATAAATAACAAGATAACAAATTAGAAAAAAAACAATAAAAGAACAGAGCAATAAAATCGAAGAAATGGAAAACTGTACTAATGAACTTGAAGAAAATTTCCTTAACTACAATCAGCTAAAGAAACAATCATCAAAATGAATGAAGTAATCCAAATAAAGCCACCAGTTATGTGGGATACTATCAAGGGGAAGAACTTACATCTCACTGCAGTTCTGAAACAGGAAGAAACAAAACAAAAGTCGGAGAAAAATAGTACAGAAAATCATGGGAGAAAACTTCCTTTAAAACAGAATAAATTAACTGTTCAAGAAGCTGAGAGATGCCAAAATAGAATAGAAAAACACAATAACATTCCAGAGCATATATAAAATGGTTTTAAAGTCTAAATTCTTAGCACATGGTTTGCAAGAAGCTATGGATGACAAAGAAAACTATCTCAATGTATTTCTATAAGACATATATTTCCATGTATTTCTACAAAATATTTATGCAAATTTATACGAATATTTATTATTTATTAAAAATACAGATGGAAAATATATAGGGTGCTTCCAAAAGGTCATAAAAATACTATTATGAAGAAGAAAACCTAAAATCCATTTGCAGAGTCCCCGTGTGGATTAAGTCTCAATTGAATCCACCCTGGCCATTGAACAGGGCAGCGAATAGTCTTGCCCTCAGTCAGAGTACATTGGAAAGTGGATTACTTCATCCACCCTGATCAGTCTAGGGAAGGACAATCTCCCCTAGGGGCTTACCTGGGTGTGTCCTTGATAGAGATCACCTTAATGGGGCCGAATTGTCATGAGTCATTTTCTGACTGCACTGATGATGTCATGATTCAAACCATTGTATGCCTACACAATAGTTATGAAACCATATTTAATAGATATGTATTAGTTATTAAAATATAGATGGAGACTATGAGGGAGCTTCAAACAGGCCATGAAAATTCTATTATTATTTTATTTCATTTTCCACAAACTTTTGGAAGCACACTCATATATATAAATGTAGATATATCTACACAAAGACACATGGATTTTCATGACCTTCCTTTAAAATGCACTCTGTGCATACAGATCACCTTTCTAGAGGAGATGAGACCGGGGACAGATGAGACTCTGCTCCCGTAAGATTTACAGTCTCAGCAATACACAAGGGCAGGTATACCCTGACCTCTAGAGTCACCATAAGTGGTAGTGAGTTTGGTCCCTTCTGTAGGGAGGAAAGGACTGATATCGTAGTTTCATTCGGCTCCTATAAATATTTACAGACATGGACACCTGCAGGGAGACATTTCTACTTTGTCCTATAGAAAAAGCGAGCCAGAAGCAATGTAATGGCAGTGAGTAAAATCAATGTTTTAAATCGAAATTTGAAAGCTCATAAATATGAGGCTTGTCTGACTACACTTTTAGGAGTGACCTTTGCCCTTAGAGACCATCCCAAGTGATGTGTCTTCATTGCTCTCAATGACTATATATCTGTATACCAGAAGCTATTATCTATACATCTATTTCTAAATACCTTAAAGCTCTGGGAGTTATAAAATGATCAATGCTTTTATTCTTAAAAAAACTAAGTTTGGGTGAGTGATATGGATACATGTGAATTCACTGATGGCCAAAAAGTACAATCTTCTTATTTCTCTCCATAGCTCCACTGAAGGGTACATGCATGCACAGCTATCTGCCTGCCTTTCTCTCTTGCTGTCTGATCTGTTATACTGAGAACAAACTTTCACTGATGAATGGAATGTAGTTAAATAATGCCATCTCTTACGTTCACTTTAAAATGTATGAGGCTAATACAATTTCAGGTCTTCTGCTTCTATTTCAGTTTTTGGCAGCTGATGACAAGATCAAGTTCTGGATGGAGATGAACTCAATTGTAGACATCTTTACCATCCCACCAACTTTTATTTCTTATTATTTGAAGAGTAATTGGCTGGGTAAGTATATTGTAGGAATCAACATCAATTAAAAATAAATGTCAGCACTTCACATTGATAAGTGTTTCTCATTTTTCTGTGCTTTGACATTCAAAGAATCTCTCACTGTGTTTATGTGGTTTTGTAAAATTTTTGCAGAAACCAGTTGGTTGGGTTTTTTTTGTTGGAGTTGGGTGGGGAGTTTAACCTCAGCACCAAGCGATGTATGAGCAGTTTTAAAAAGTTTGTGGGGAGTATTTTTATTATTTTTTTAATTCCATTTTTCACAAAACTTTTGAAGCCCCTTCACATCTAATACACAGTTGGTTTATGATATCATTGCACCCACAGCCGGAGAGGAAAGTACCCTAACATCCCACCTTCCAGTTTCACCTTGATGCCATTATCTTATACTGATGAAAGAGGATGAAACGCTTGCTGTAGTCTCTAAGAGCTAAATGTCACCATAGCTACATACACTGTGGAATGTTAGATAATAATTAGTTACTTTATGTTGTAGAAAGATGTGTTGATGCTGCTTGGGAATTATGGAGCTTTTTTCTACTTTTATGTAATTTTACATTATTACTTGCAAACTATAATATTAACCCCAGTTCTAGTAATTGCTATTATACCATGAAAACACATAAAGTTAAAAGCATACAAACACTGAAGAGGGAATCTTAGGGATTATATGATAAGGAATTTAAGAGGTTTATGGAACGTTTGCTCTGAATTTTAAGCAAAATATTAAGTAGAAGATAATGAACACAGCCAACAAGAACACAAACTCACTACCAGCACTCTATTCTTCAGATGTATAGATGGCCTATTACACACAGTAGAACCAGTTCCTAAGGTTTTTGAGACTGACAATGTTTACAGAAGCAGACTTCCCATCTTTCTTCTGGGAATGGATGATGGGTTTAAACTGCTAACTTTGCCGTTATCAGCACACTACTCAACTCACGGAACCACCAAGGTTTCTACAATGTACATACTGCTTATAAATGTGATGTCCAATTCTATGTGCTTTCTGTAAAGCAACAGCTCTGTGAATGAGTACTATTATGAAGCCAACTTTTCAGATGAGGCAATAAGGTATGCTTGGAATATAATAGTGACTAAATGTCCAGGTCAGAATTTCAACTAGTGTCCATATTCATATACCCACAATATTATAAGATGTTAGGTTAATATTAGCATTGATTATTTTATATATGTTTGTGTGTGAGAGAGAGAGAAAAGGTCTGGAATTGTATGATTCAACACATTGGAAATGATTATCATGGGGGGCGGATATATTATAATTGGGCATTTTAGAGAGTTAAAGAGTGCAAGGAATCCTAATTGTATTACAATGAAAACTATCACCAGAATGATGGGTTTGGGGGCAACTTGCTTCTTTTCCATTGCTTTACAGGTTTAAGGTTCCTACGAGCACTAAGGCTTCTAGAACTCCCTCAAATCTTGCAAAGTCTACAAGCCATCAAGACCAGGTAAACACTAGGCCTCCCTGGAGACCTGCTACCTTATTAGTTTAGATTAGAAAATGGCAATGTCGACTGAGCTTCAAACTCCACTATTTTACATCAGAATTTCCGTGCAAAAGTCATAAGACTCTTAAGCTCCTAAGATATTATTCATTCTTTGATCCCTTCCATTGCATAATACACTGCACAAAATGTTTGCAATTCCTTTAAAGACTTTGTTTATTCTCTTTGTTGTTGTAAAACAACAATCTATAAGGTCGCTTAGGAGTTCATGTTGAGGCCACAAATAAAATCAAAATAATCCAGATATTTGCTTCTACACATTTGCTTTTTTATGAATCATATCTCTCCTGGCTAGAATAAAGAGCAAATGTGTCTTCAGGTTAAGATATATGAGGTATTGATTCTGGGCATGAGTGCTCAGTAATAGTAACAGAGGAACAATTATCTTCAAAAATAGAGTCACATAAATGTAAAAAAGAAAATTTTTAAAAAGCAAATGCAAATTATTATGCTTCCCCCACCACTTGTCAGTCAGTTTGTCTTACTCTGGTGCCTTATGCGTTGCTATGATGCTGGAAGCTATGTGGCTGCTATTTAAATCTTTTTTCAACTACACAAAAGGAGACTATATACACTGACTTCCCCAGTGGGAGTAGTTAGATATCAAATAGACTGAATATGTGGGAATAGGTAATGAAGAAAATGCTCAGCATATCTGAAACTAAAAGCACTCAAGAAATAACTATTCAAGTCTGGGATTGTGATCTTGAAAGATCCTATAATCAAAGTGTTTAATGATGAAGGAAGCATCAAACGAAGCTCAAAGTATACACACAGAGTCACTTTACCAAAAGGCACTAGTCAGCATTCAATGATTTCAAGAGGTGGCACGTGAGCAAGAATAAATAGTGCTGGAGGACTAAGTTCAAGATACATCGGAAGCATTAGGCAAAACAAGATTTCAGGGATTGATAGAATGCCGATGAAAATTTTGGCACACTGATGAAGCTCTAGAAGCAATTACACTTCTTGAAAGATAGCTACTTGATCAACTAACTGGAAGAGATCCATATTTGTACCCATTTTAAAGAAAGATGACTCAATAAAATTCAAAAATTATAGAATAATATTATTGGTATTTCATGCAAGTAAAATTCAGCTGGCGATCATCCAACAAAGGATGCAGCAGTACATGGAAAGGGAGCTGCCTGAGATCCAGGCAGAGTTCAGAAGAGGAATTGCAAAAAGGGACATATTACATTACTACTATTTTTTTAATTAGAAGGTAATTTTATTGGGTGCTCTTACAACTCTTAATATAATCCATACATCAATTGTATCAAGCATATTTGTACATTTGTTGCCATCATTATTTTCTAAATATTTACTTTCTATTTGAGCACTTGGTATCAGCTTCTCTTTTTTCCCTCCCTCCCCACCTTCCCACCCTCATGACCTCTTGAAAAATTATAAATTATTATTATTTTCATATCTCACACCAACCTGTCTCCCTTCCCCCATGGTTTCTGTTGCTCTTCCCCCTGGAGGGGTGTGTGCGGTCCTGTGTTGATCATTGTGATTGTTTCCCTCTTCCTCCCCTCCTTTTCCCCTACCCTTCAGGTGTTGCTATTCTCATTCCTGCGTCTGGATTCCATGTGTTATGAACTCTTATCTCTTATCTATACCTGGGTTTATGCTCTGATCTAGTCCCAGGTTAGAGACAGCACTGGAACTGGGATCATGATAATGGGGGGTGAGGAAGCTGCAAAGAACCAGAGGGATATTGTGTGTTTCATCACTGCTGTATTGCGCCTTGGTTGACTCATTCCTACTTGTGATCCCTCTGTGGGGGGATGTCCCATTGTCTACAGATGGGCTTTGGGTCTTTGCTCTGACTCCCTTCATTCTCAACAATATGATTTTGTTTGGTTGTTTGTTATGGGTCATCTGATGCCTGTTTCCCAGTCCTGACAACACCTCATGATTGCACAGGCTGGTGTGCTTCTTCCATGTGGGCTTGTTGCTTCTCTGCTAGATGACCTCTTGTTTAACTTCACGCCTGTAAGACCACAAATGACATATCTTTTGTTGGCTGGGCACTATCCGCTTTCTTCACCACATTTGCTTATGCACCTATTTTGTCTTCAGCGATTGTGCCAGGAGGGTGAGTATCACAGAATGCCAGGTTGTTAAGAACAAAGTGTTCTTGCAAGGAGGTGGGATATGAACAAAGGACCAAAGCCCATCCACTACCTCAGTGTATTGCCATATAAATATATTTACATAGCCCTATACCTCTATTTTTATGAATTAATGTATTTACATATGCACACACCTATGCTTATACCTCTATCCATAGCTTTGCTTCCTAGATCATTCCTCTGCTTCCTTTTACCTTCCTCCTGCTCCACCATCATGCTCACCCTGCTTCCATCTCTTAATACTTCCTCTCAGCTAGAGTGATATTGCTCCAACAGCCCCAGGATCTCTACATCCTCCTTGTTGTTGATTTTAATTCCCTAGTTGTTCCCCTGTCTATAGCATTGTTTGATCACCACTCCCTTCCCCTGCCTCCTTCCCCCCCCAATCCCTGCAGACTGTCAGTTCCATTGCTTTCTCCTCGATTTTGCTTCCCATGCCTATCTTATATAAATAGGCAAACCAACAATGATATAGATCAAACAAAAAGAAGACAAAAGATTGAAAAATGAAAAGAAAAACAAAATGAAAAAGAGGAAAAACATACGTAAGTTCAAGTCTGTCTACTGACCTTTACGACTATCTCCCCACTAGTCCTGGGGGAATTCTAGGAGCTGCGCTTTCTAGCCTTAAGTCTACTTTGGGGCCTCTTTAGGGGTGTTGTGGATTTTCTTTGATCTGTTTGCTGATGCTGATATGTTATGTTCCCTTGTTTGCCCCACTACAGTGGGTTCACACTGTACTACCTCCTACCATGTGTCCCCAGTATTGTCCACTGTCACGGTATTGCTTCAGTAAGGGGACAGCATGTCATGAACTGTTGTTAGCCCTACAGTCCTCTCTGTGCCTTAGCTCTGTGCAGGGATGTTATCCTCCGGGCTTGGTGTGCCAGTATGAGTCCTAGACCATCCCTTTCCCCTTTCCCTTCTTGGATTGCTTCCTTGTGGGCGTGGTATGCTGGCCCCACTCCTAAACCTATAGGTTTAGTGTTCTCCGTCAAGCATACTTCTAGGGAGGGGTCAGTTTGGCTTTGGTTGGAGCCGGCACTGAAGCCCAACCTTTCATGCATTCTTCCACATGGTTAGGTTGTCCTCATGGTTTGATGCACCGTGGTAGGGTCTGTATGCATACTCCCAAATCAAAACCAATACTCTCCCCCTGAGAGGGTTAGTGCCCTGCTCACCCCATGCCATCATCTCACTTTCACACAACCCTTTTCGCCTTACCCCTTCCCACGTTTCCCCTTCTTTGTGTTGGATTAACATGTACCTCCTTGGGTTTGGTCTGACCTCCACCCAACTGCCTGTACCAGTGGTTCTCCACCTTCCTGATGGTGCAACCCTTTAATATAGTTCCTCATGTTGT